ATTTTGTCGCTCATAATAGTTATTTTTATTCGTATACCAAGGCCTTAAAGTTGATATTTTTTGTACGAATCAGAAATTTTCGGCCGAAGCATAGGCCAAAAAAGATACGGCCGAGGTGCGAACAACACTTTTTTGGGCGACTGTCTCATCAAGTAGAGCCAATATTTTTTTTACATTCTTGTCATAACAATGCATGAATTGTTTCAAATTTTTATTGATCGAATAGAAATCCATTGTCAACTAATAAAATTTGTACAGAATTACTAACGATAAGTATGATAAACCTGTGTTTATAAAAAGCGATCGTAAAGTAAATGCGGCTAAAAAATGACACATTAAAGTTGCTGCAAAGTAAATGCGGCTAAAAAAAGTGACACTTTAAGGTTGTTAATAAATCCGTAAAAAAATATTTTTTTATGATAGTCACCTAAAAAAGTTGTTAAATGTAATTCACTTCCATATATTCCTCTTTCAACGATGAGTTATTAGTAATACATTTAGAAATATAATGGCCATTTTGACATCTCATCTTTAATAAAAAATTCTTATCCATAATTGTTTAATAAATTCAAATTTTCAATTACTCATGCGCGAAAAAAGCACGGGACTTTTGATACTAGTAATTTTCCAAACCCTTTTTACTATCTCTCTTATCCTCGCCTTACAACTGTTGGATTGGCTACGATGATTACCCCATGTCATCGTTACTTTAAACAACTGTCATCGATTCTATATAGTAGGGAGCCAGTCAAACTTTTTTGGTACACATTTACACAAGGCTAAATTAAGTCGTTGATTCTTACCCCCTAGAAGATGGAAATACTATGCTGCAATCGATCTAGTGGTGATATGCCCTGTCGGCAAGCAAGATGGCACTATGAGCTGAATTTCTAGAAGGTGGCAACAAACTTTCTTCTACTAAATTTTGTTGTAAATAATATCTGAAAGTTTCAAGTTTGCGCTTCTATGGCAGCATTTTCTACACAGGCTTTTTTAAAACGTCATCGTCGAGGGCTCCATCGCTGCACACCAAACTATTTCCATGTTCTACAAGGTAATAATGAACGACATAATTGAAATTTTCAATTTCGCAAATAACACTTAAAAGATAAGGGGTGGGTGGCTCGGTGGTAGAGTCTCTGCCTGTGGATTCAAGGGTCCCAGGTTCGAATCCCACCGTTGGCCGGAATTTTTTCATTTAATTTAATTATTTAAAATTAATTCTGATGCCTTGGTAGGATTCCCCACTCGACCGTTCACTGTTGGGTTCTAATTAACAGTGCTGTTCCTAAAGTGAAGCTGGGAAATATTAACAAAGCCTACACAGAACACGAGGCGAAATAACAGCGGTTTAAGCCGATGACATACAAAAAAAACCTAAAAGAGTTACCAATACTCTCAAACGCGAAAACACATTCGAAATCCTGAAAGTTTTAGCCATCTACGTCCTATAAGTATTCTTCCGAACTTATCAAAAATTCTTGAAAAAACTATTAGTAAGCAAGTGTACGAGTATATTTTTACAAATGGTATTATTGGTAATACTCAGTCTGGCTTCAGAAAGGGATTTAGTACAACTATCCTTTTATTAAATATCAGTGACCACATAATAAAATCCATTGATGTAGGGCAGACTACAGCATTAACACAATTAGACTTTTCGAAAGCATTTGATAATACTCTTGACCACTACTTATTGTGCGCTAAACTAAACTGTTATGGTTTTGATGATACTTCCTTGAGATTCTTTAAATTTTACTTAAGTAATCGACATCAAAAAGTAGTTCTAGATAATAGTTCATAAAAATTTTCATATGTAACCTCTGGAGTTCCTCAAGGCTCTGTACTGAATCCCTTACTTTTTCTAATTTACTTCCGATATAAATTCAGTTGTAAATTACGTTAAAATTCAAACTTTTGCCGATGACACTCAACTATACTGCTCATTTGATCTAAAAAACTTCACTAGTATTTCTGACTACATAAACAGAGACTTAAACGAAGTGGCCAAGTATTCTAAAGCTTACAATCTAAAACTAAATGGTAATAAGTGCTCTGCCGTGTTCTTCTATCCAAAAACTGTCAATGCAAGTTGCTTAAAAAATATCAAACTGGTCATTGAAAACCAACCTTTGAAAGTTGTTAGTAGCGCCAAAAGTCTTGGCATTATCTTTGATTGCAAGTTACGTTTTGAAGAGCATATTTCATTGTTGGTAAAGAAATCTTATTTAGTTCTTCGTCAATTATATAGAAACCGAGGAATTTTCAGTTTTCCGTTGCGGAAACTTCTTTGTGAGAGTTTAGTTTTATCGATTTTAACTTATGGCTTGGTATTATTTTATCCTTGTTTAGATCAATTTACGAAATATAGGTTACCATTGAATCAAATGATATAAAACTTTTAAGTTCTCCGGTTGGAAGTTGGGACCGAAAAACTGGTTTCTTTCATCCCCATTTGAATGGCTTTATCTCCCTTATTTCAAAGTTTCGGACATTAGCTTCTATAGTAAACACCTTTTCATTGTTCTATCACCTTCTAAAATATTTGTATTAATTTTTGACTCACATTGTATATAAAGAACGCTAAAGTAAAAAATTACTTAATCTTCCATAGAGACAGTAATAATTGTTTTTTAAGAAACTGATTATCAATATGATCAACTGATTTATCAACTTTAAAATCTATTTATAGTTCCATTTTTTAATACATTATATTTCAAAACAAGATAACAGTTGCATTAAATCAACTTTTTTATTTATGCAGGGTATTGCGTAAAGAATGGTCAAATTTTATCTACAACTGAGGTTAAGTTTTTTTAGTAAATATATTTCCCTTTTTAACGTAAATGATTTTTTTTTTTATAAAAACATAATTTATGGATCGTTGAAATCATTTTTTCCTAAATTGCAAAGATTGCTATGTTGAAATATTATCCAGTAGTTTAAATAATTATATCAAGAAAATTATAAATACAAAGGACCCCAGGCATCCTTTCAAATTACTGTAGAATTTCGTTGATTACAGGATTTTTTGAAATTATCTAATACTACTATGAAAGATGTTTAAAAAACAGATTAATTTGATATTAACACAATGTAAATACGCCAGGGAAGTTAATAATACCACAGGGTTCCTATTTGGAACCTCTTTTCATATGGTTTATCAACGATGTATAGTGTTACCAGACTCAATCCAATACAGGCGTTTGTACCGGGATTGCGTAATAATTCGCGTTACATGCCATGCGAATGCTACAAATTCTATACCCTCACATTGCAAATAAGCGTGAACCGTCTTGGTATAGCCTCTGATGTGGCACACTTAGTTTTAAACATCTACGCACCTACAGTTGATGTTAAGTCTACAAGTGGGCGGCCAGAATTGCTGGCTCGCCTGGCTGCTTTAGTTGTTTTATCTTTGATCAGTAGCGTGCACGGTTTGAAAAATTTTCCCAAAGCGTTTGTTATAAACTTGTTTTTATTTTTCGGTGTTTCTGTTAAATTTTGTATTATACGAGATGCTTTCTGGAGACCTTTTGAGATAGATGTAGTTGCTAGAGTCATAATTTTACATGCCGGAAATGAAAATGGATTTGTAGCAAACGATTCGCTACTTTCAGCAAAATATGTCAATAAAGCTCTGCTGGTTTATCATGAAGATATGAATGCAGCAGTTTTTAAGAACTGGTTTGCTGAACAACGTTTACCGAATATTCCAACTAATTCAGTCATTGTAATGGACAATATGCCATATCATTCCCGGCAAATTCACAAGAAGCCAAGTAGTGACTCTAAGAAATCAGATATATCAAAGTATTTAAAAGATAATAACATTGATAGTCCTGCTTCCGTAAAAACAAAACCACAATTGTTACAAATTGTTAAAGTAAGAATATTCCAATACAGTATTATATTGATAATTTTGCAAAAGATGATGGTCATACTGTATGGAGGTTACCACCTTAATATTGTGTACTTAATCCAATTGAATTAGTTTGGTCTTCAGTTAAACAAAAACTGTGACGTAATACTTTTGCACCTACCTTAACAAATGTGATTTGGAAAATATTAATGGCGTTTTTAAAGATCCGTCTTTGACTGACGTTTGGAAAATTTGCATTAGTCACGTCCTAGGACTAGAAAAGGAATGTCATATTTTACCTTCTATAGCTCCAGTAGTTATATATCCAAACCTCGATTCCTCGACAGATGGTTCAGATTTAGATTTGAATTAACTTTCTTATTTTTCATTATTGTTAATCCAAGAGTCATCAAATTAATTCATTATTAACATTTTATTAGTTCCTATTCATTTATTTCTTTTAAAAAAATCATTTTTCTAAATTATTTTATAGTTTTGTTTTATTTGCAAAGAATTTATTTTCCTTTATGGTTTTTGCTTTGAAATTTCGTTTTCCGAAAAAAAAAAAAAACGAATGGGGTACAAAAAAGGATCAGTTCACGTCTGGTACCCTGTTTGAACCAAACGCCCTTGCAGGCAGGTACATTTTACTCATCTATTTACGTTTTATAATTTAATATTCAGTTGTAGGAAATTAACGAGCTATAATAATGATTTTTTTAAGTTTCAAGTAGGACTACAATTAAATGCATCTATCTAAATAACGGGTATAACCCCGTCCAATTTATAATCATTCGATCGCCTTTTAACGAATACTTTCTCATATTTATAAAAATATTAAATTTTTAAAATGAGGTATCTACGCCTGTGACAGATCAAACAAAATGTCGGTAAGAGTTCGGAACGAGTTTAATGAAAGAACTATACATAATTATTAATTTAAACTTAATTTTAATAATAAAATTGGTACGCCCATGTGCGCGGTCCCTTTGAAGTCGGTACTAATCGGTTATTCTGCCGTGTTGGATTGTGTCTAGAAAGACGTTACAGTCTTTCATTTACGGATAGATTTCTTAATAAATACAAAATTGAATTCGCTCTTACTGTAAATTATAAAGCAAACATTTTTTCTTTACAGGGCGAATGCGAAAGCCTAACCTACGAAGATCTTCAAGACCAGTTCCCCAAAGAACTGGCGCTTCGCGACAACGAAAAGTTGAAGTACCGGTACCCGCAAGGCGAATCGTACATAGACGTAATGGCTCGCTTAGTTCCGGTTCTCACGCAATTGGAATGCGAGACCAACGTTCTAACCATCTCCCATCAAGCCGTTCTTCGTTGCGTTCTAGGGTACTTCTTGGAAACGCCTCACGACGAAATACCCTACATCCACGTTCCGTTGCACACGATCATCAAGCTGACTCTAAGAGGACACAGTTACAACATGGAAACAGTTAAAATGCCGATCGAATGCGTCGACACCAACCGAGCCAAGCCCGTGAACTGTTCAGAGACCCGCAGCCCTGAGGATGCGCTGTTAACCTTGCCGAAACATTATGATTCTATTGCGAGCGTTACCACTTTAATGCCATGCACTTAGCTTCAGTTAGGGCGGTGTTGTTTCATTTGAGGGATTTTTTTTTACCAAATTAGCCATTTTTGTGCTAAATTTTATGAGACAAATTTGCATATTTTTGAAACAAATTTGCAATTTTTGAAATAAATTAGCTATGTTTGTACCAAATTGGACATATTTGAGACAAAGTTGCAATTTTCAACCAAATTGGCAAATTTTAAGCCAATTAAACATTTTTTTAAATAAATCTTACATTTTTTGAGTCAAATTTGCAATTTTCGAATTAAATTGGAAATTTTGAATTTTTGTCCAAATTAGTCAGTTTTGAACAACAAATTTGTTATTGTTATTTTTAAGACTAACTGCAATTTTTGCTTTAAATTAAATCAGGGTTGTTTCATTGTTTCACCATAAGTGGCATCAAATTAACTATGTCAAAGCCAAATTGGAAATTTTTTGTGACAAATTTGCAATTTTTGAACCAAATTGGTAATTTTTTTTATAACAAATTTGCAATTTTTTAACGAAATTGGCCAATTGATTTTTGAACCAAATTAGCCATTTTTGAGGCAAATTTGCAATTTATCAGATAAATTGGTCATTTTGGAACTAAATCGGATATTTTTTAAGCAAATCGGACATTTTTTTGAGTCCAAAATAGGTTTTTGGACTAAATTAACGATTTTTAAGCTAAATTGGACATTATTAAAACAAATTTACAATTTTTGAACCAAATTGACCAGATTAAACATTTAATGCAAATCGGACATTTTTTATAGGCAGTTTTGAACCATTTACATTTTTTGAGTAAAATTTGCAATTTTTTAATCAAATTGAACATTTTTTAAGTAAATTTTGCAACTTTTGAACCAAATAGGACCTTTTTGTAACAAATTTGCAATTTTTTAAACAAATTGGCCCGTTTTGAGCCAAATTGAACATTTTTTTAAACAAATCGGACATTTTGCAATTTTTGTTCCAAATTAATCCGATTTTAGACAAATTGAACATTTTTTAGGGTTGGTTTTCTTTTTAATTATTTTATAGTAAACCGCTTGATATCGAAATTTTAATCGAAAATTGCTTGTCGGACGTGTCAATTACTGGCCCTATTGGCTGAATTGACTAAAGCGAGATTGTATGTAGCTCATAGTTTCAGATAAGATTAAATCCTGTATCTAGGTTATGTTTATTTTTAATATTTGTATATTGTAAACAGTTCATTTGCTTGTTAGTGACAAATGATCTGATAGTTGATATTCACTGTAATGTAGTTATTTTTTAAATTGAAAGCTTAGTTTATTAATTTGTTTACATATTTAATAGATCCTTGTAAGTAATCTTGTTTTTTTGTAATGTTTTCGTTTTTTACTAGCCATGTATATAAGTTATATTTGTTTTAATTTGTAGATTGATTTATTTGTATTATATATTTTAATGGATTTTTGTCCATCTTTTTTGGAGAGTATGGAGAGTTTTTAGATATTTTTTGTAACTATTTTTTTTCACTGCGCGTAATACTGTATTAGTATTTTTTTGTCGGTAGGATATTGTGATATCTTGATACATATATGTAACCAGCGGTTTATAAGAACTGTAATAATAAAACATTTAAAAAAATATTTTTAGTTTTATTATTTTAATCAAAAAATGCAGAGATATCGGACAATATTTAATTTTTGTGAAGACTAGCCCAGCAGTAGTAATAAGAAATAAAACTAAACGTATATTTTTAATTAAATCCAATAATAATAGTATAACATGAAGTTAATAAAAACATTTTTGAACTACTAAAAATAATCTTCAATTCATAATATTAGTTATCAAATTTCAAAGGGCCCTTGTGGACCACAATTTTGTAAAAGTGTCATGCGAGCCATTCTCGACCAGTCAGGTCCTGCCAGCAGGTCGACGTTCTCGAACAGGTCTAGCTCATTTTATATATAAATAAGCTGTTGCGTTCTTGGAGAAGTTAGTCGATGAAAAGTTCAGTTGAAGATAGACATTCGTATTGTGAGATAAATTAGTATGAAATGTGTCGCTCATTATAAAAGTGGTGTAAGTCCATATTATTAGAATATACTTTTATCCCGTAAAAATACGTTTTACTGTATTTATTACAATTGTTTAGCTATGATTAGTTCTAAAATGTATTTAATTTTGCAATAAAATTTTTTAAACATTTAAAACTAGTTTTCTTTTTGTTTCTGTAGGTCTTTTTGCAAAACACTATATTACAATAATCAAGTAAACGGGGATAAACCACTTTTATAATGAACAAATATAAATGGTACTGATATAGAAACAATAATCAAGTAAACGTAGGGAGATAAACCACTTTTATAATGAACAAATAAAAATAGTACTGATATATAAAATACATATTTAAGTATAAATAAATAGTATTTAGTGTAAAATAATAAACCCTTTTATATAAATGTTACAATAGGTTTTCAAAAACTTCTTGTCAGTAGTTCAAATGTACCGTAAGTTTGATTTTCATTATTTATTCATAGATCAACAAATTTTAACACCTAGACTTCAAAAAATTCGCGTAAATAGTTGTAATGTACCAAAAGTTTCAATATGCCATAATTTAATTGTTATAGGTTTACTTTGTCCGATGTCTCGTTTTTTATCCGCACGATAAGTCAAAAACGAAAAATAATATCAACTTAAAAAATTTCAGGAAAAATCAAGCTCTTATAAGGGGGCGAAGTCTACTGATTTAAAAAAAAAAATGGTTGAAAATGTTAAATAAAATCCTAACTCAAAAACGAAAAATGATATAAACTCGAAATTTTTAGCACAAATCAAGCCCATAAGGGGAAAAAGCCCTTTGATTTTGAAAAAAATCTGATTAAGAATTGGGAGTTTGAAGGGGGTTGAAATTAAAAAAAAATCACAAATCAAAAACGAAAAGCGATATAAACATGAAATTTTTAATAAAAATCAAGATTCTGAAAAAAAATACGTGTGGCACTCGAGGACTGCCGCGGTAAAGCTATTGCATAGTATTTTTTATCAACTTATGCAATTATAATTATTTATTTATGCAGTTTTCCTTATTTATTAATTATCGAATTAATTTATTTTACACAAACATAAAACCGGACAGATATATTAGAATATTCTATGCAGTCTATTTTGAGTCGTTTAGGGATTATTCAAGTTTTAAAATCCATTTTGCGTTACCCTGAATGGTAATGGCGATTTGATTAATTTTGCGGTACCATAAATTATAAGGAAATTTGAGTGAATTTTGAGCATAGGTACAGTGGGCAATTTAAAATGTTTGGCTGGTGTCTACTTCTCTATCTCTCTTTGATGGCTATTGAGAAACGAGCCTCAACTTTTAAATTATTTCTATTCAATTAAAAGCTTAGATAAAAGAGACCAGAGATATAACATACACCGGTTTTAAACCTGCGCAAATGTTGCCAATTTCTAAAGAAGGGTTAACGGAGTGGGGGAACTGGGCGGCGACTCGAACTCTGTGACAGGGACCGGACTTTGTTTATTAGCAACTTAATGAACTATTAGGTTTATTTAAAAGGTGTTTAATCGAATTTTGTATTATGAAATCAAATTATCGTGATTTTTTAATATCAAACAGATGCCACGACATTTTATGTAAAGAGAAGACCTTTTATAGAATATTTCGTTAGCGTTTATTTACTACGGACTTTTCTGCAAGAGATTACAGTAAAATGTTGAAATAGAATATATTGTTAATAGAGCAAAAAATGTTACTCATTGTCTACGAGTATTATAAAAATAGCATGTGCGCAGGCTAATACTGCAAATCTACCCTTATGAGTTGAACATTATATTTTTTCTACGGCTATTACATATTATTAAAAATTAGTCAAAATGAGAAAATGCTGTTTTGTATTGTAACCTCAGAAAAAGTATATTAAGGCTTCTTTCTTTAACTCACATAAAACTCTAGAAATGCATATGTCTGAAACCAGATAACATTTTAAAATTTAAATCTATTAAAAGTCATTTGGTCGCTAGGGATGAGTGATTATCGAAATAAATTATCGATAATTGAAAATAATCGATTATTTTCGATCAATAGATTATTTTCAAACAATATATTTTTTGTAATTTCCTTTAAAATCGACTACTTGATTATCTTTGAAAAATCAAAAATAATCGATTAATTAAAAAGCCAATTAACCGATAAATCAGTGTTGACAAAATATAATATAAATTGAATTATCGTTTATTTTAAATAATCGATTATTTTCAAATAAACCATTTTTTTTTTCGTCCATGGAAACAGATTATTCGATAATCTTTGAAAAATCGAAAATAATCGATTAATCAAAAATAATCAATTAATTAAAAAGTCGATTAACTGATAAATCGATTTAAAAAAAAAACAGAATGATCGATTATTTTAAATAATTGATTATTTTCGATCAATCGATTATTATCAATAATCTATTTTTATTGTATTTCCTTTAAAATCGTTAATTCGATTATCTTTGAAATAGCGAAAATAATCGATAATTCCAAAATAATCGCCTAATCGAAAATAATCAATTAATTAAGAAGCCGATTCTATGATAAATCGATTATTACCAATAATCTATTTTATTGTATTTCAAAAATATTCGATTAATTAAAAAGTCGATTAACTGACAAATCGATTTTCAAAAAAAAAACAGAATGATCGATTATTTTAAATAATCGATTATTTTCGATCAATCGATTATTATCAATAATCTATTTTTATTGTATTTCCTTTAAAATCGAAAATTCGGTTATCTTTGAAATACCAAAAATAATCAATAATTCCAAAATAATCGCCTAATCGAAAATAACCAATTAATTAAGAAGCCGATTCTATGATAAATCGATTTTCCAAAAAATAAAACGAATTATCTATTATTTTCTAATAATCCTTTTTTCATATTTCCTTTGAAATTGATTATTCGATTATCGAAAATAATTGATTATTAAAAAGCTGATTATCCAATAAATCGATAATTTTAAAAAAATAACCAAAATATCGATTATGTAAAATAACCGATTATATTCAATCGATTATTTTCATATAATATCTTTGAAAAATCGAAAATAATCAAATAATTAAAAAACCGATTAAACGATAAATCGATAATTTTGAATAAATGTACTTTTTCTGTATTTCCTTTAAAATCGATTAATACATTATCTTAAAAAAAAACGAAAATAATTTATTAAAAACAGCGGATAAATCGATTTTCATTAAAAAATATCAGAATTATCGATAAATCGATTATTTTTGTAACCCCTATCGGTCGCTTGCTTTTATCTGAGCATTTAGCTCCAAAATTTAGAGATTCGGATTTTTTGATCCAGTTATCTTTGAAATCGCATTCGCTTGTATAATAAATAAATATTGCTAAATTTTGGATTTTTTTTAGTAAACGAAAATTATGTTCGAGTTGTTTAGGGGTTTGTAATGTAACATTTTATTAACGTGACTAAGGGTTGATTCCACCGTTGTGTTAAACGAAGTTTAAAATGACATTTTTACATTAACACTGTCATTTTAATCTCCGTTTAACACAACGGTGGAATCGGACCTAACTCCTGTAACTTTAGTATTTTTTTTTTTGTTTATACTAGATTACTTTGTTTTAAGACTGAAAATTCAATGTCACTTTCGATTTGACCGCAAATAAGATGAACCTTGAAATTTTAAGTAGGTCATCCTGTATTTCATCTAATATTCTTATAAAAATACCTTATAAAAATAAAATTTAGCTAGCAACTATGATTCTTTACCTCTTATTTATCTACCAAAAAGGGCTAAAAACTACCTTTAGAAAACATTCTTATAAAACTACTTTTTAAATACAAAATTTCGTTAGCAATAATGCCTATTTACTATTTATTTAAATTAAATGTTCAAAATTTTACCCTTTTGTAAATTTATGTAAGTAATATGAAATCTGATGCTTAATATTTATTGAAACCCCTTAATGCGGATCTGAAGTATTCAGCCCAGAGAATCATGGCGCTTTATGTCAAAACGTTAATAAATATTTACCGCTGAAAACGAATATATTCATAACAGTAGTACTTGTATTATAAGTACATACAATTTTTCAAGATACATCGTGACATTTTGAACTTAAAATTGAATAACTAGAACACTTTAAATTGCTAAAATACCAACAAATAAATCAAAAAACAGCTGTCAATGGTGATTAAACTCAGGTGGAGGTGTGATCGCTGAATGGAAATCGGAGCAATTCGGGTGGCGTCGTGCAACAATGATTTTCAATTGGTGGGTTACTTTGGCTTAAAATAGACTGCATGCGCAGTGTGCAATGTTACATCTTCGGTCTCTTTAATCTAAGATTAAAAGGAAACTAAGTATATAACTTTAAAAGGTTCTTTATTTTCTCGAAAATGATAAAAAAAATGTCTTCGATTTTGATGAAAATAAGGGATCATATAGAGCAACATATTATCACAACATATTACAGCGTTGACTCAATTGATTTCTATCTATAAGAGTTTAATTATTTTTTGTTTTCCTTAGTTAAACATTATCTAATTATTCTATAAATTGAAATAAACACAGAACCGAACAGATATTAGAGTACTCTATACCGTTCGTTCTTTATTTTGGGCCGTTTAGGAGTTATTCAAGTTTTAAAATTCAACATTTTTGCGTTACCCTGAATGGCAATGATAATTTGATTAAGAAACTTAATTTGGCATTACCCTAAATTGTATAAGAGGTATTTTAAAAAAGGCGGAAAAATTATTAAATCGGTCGAATTTTACGCATACTTTAATGGCGAATTTAAGCGAGAATGTATGGAAACATTTATTTCTGTTTTGATTTTTATGACATTTTGAACATAGGTCAGTAAGTAATTTAAAATGTTTGACCAGAGGGGTCTATTTCATTAAACTATTTTGCATCTTTTCACTTTGCACTTTACAAATTTCAGTAAATTTATGTTTCATAAAAAAAAATTTAACAAGTTAAAAGCAAAATTTCAAAATCAATTAGCAAAGTAAAAATGAAATAATCTACAAAATTAACGATATTATTATATGAAAAACAAATATGTTGCACTCGTAAATTTGCAAAATAGTTTTATGAAATATGCCCTAGGTCTGCTTCTCTTAATCTTTGACGGTTATTGCGAGAAATGAGCCTCAATTTTTAAACTATTTCAGTATTTGAGTATTTTTTTTTTTTGAGATCTAGACTTTTCTTGTATGCGTATGCCGATTTTTGAGTTTTTATTTTCTCAAAAATGAGTAAGCCTTCAACATATTAAAAAAATGTACTGGCGAGTCACCAAAACAAGGAGTAATTAATAGTAAATTTTTATCTGAATACGTTCCTTGTTATGGCAACTTGTATAGATGGTGCCACAGGTACAAATAGATGGTAACTCCGCTATTTTACGTCCAAATTTTGGACAGAAAATGGCAACGGTAACGAAGTTAAGTTATTTTTTCCGATTTATCTTATTTTTGGATATGGAATCATCCCACGAGTGATGGTACATGTTTTTCAAAACACCCTGTATAAGTCTCATTAAAAGTTTTTGGAAAATATAGAATAAGCAAATTATAGTTTATTTTCAAATTTACACAAAAAACTCAGTTGATGCACCTAACAGATGTCTGTTAAAAATTTTATTATCTCAAAACTACAAATTTGCAGACAGGACCTTTCTTGCTAGCACGGCCAGCATCAGGATGACCAAATTTTACACTCTAGGTTTTCAAACAAAAACGATAGCTTTAGTAGTTCAAATGTTCCTTAAATATTTAATATAAGTTTCAGTGAGGACTATTAAGAAAAAAAATACAACCTAGGTTTTTTTTAAAGTAGAGTCAATGTGCCCTTAGTTTAATTTTCATTATTAATTTATATGATTCAAAGGGGACCATAAAGAAAAAAAAATACATTTTTTGTTTCTTAAATAGGCTTTAGTTCAATTGTACCATAAGTTTAATTTTCATTAATAATTTATATGGTTTTAAACCATATAAAGGGGGACCATTATAAAAAATTACAACCTAGGTTTTTAAAAAAAGTTGTTCAAATGTACTTTGTTTAATTTTTCATTATTAATTTATATACGATTCAAAAGTGGGACTATTAAGACAAAAAATGGCAATATAGGTTTTTAAAAAGGCAGTAGTTCAAATATAACAAGTTTAATTTTCATTATTTATGTATATGATTTACGTCCTATGACGTCCTTTTGGGATGTCCCAGGGACATAGCTTCGGGAAGTCCCGGAGATGGACGGAAACGGGACATTAGAAAGTTCACGGGACGTCGGATAAACGTCCCAGTACCAAAAGAGGACCTACCTCGGACGCCTTCTAGACGTCCATGTGCTATGTGAGTTAACTTTAATTTTCATTATTTTATATGATTCAAAAGGGGATCATTAAAACAAAAAAAATGGACAACCTAGATTTCTAAAAAAGTCAGTAGTTCAAATGTACCTTAGGTTTAATTTTTATGATCATTGAGACAAACAAATTATACAACTTGTTTTTAAAAAGTCAATAGTTCAAATTTACCGTAAGTTCCATTTTCATTATTTATTTTGGTAGATGGATATGAACACTCAGGATTGTTGTCGTTCAATAATAATTCCACATTTTTACCAACAAGTGCTTTATTTATACAAAAATTTGTAAAAAAAGTAACTTCGACAATTAAAATTATTAAAGAAGAAACTTCTATTCAATAATGCGCGACATTTTCTCTCCTTAAAAGTACGTCTAATGACTTAAAACATAAATGGCAACAATATTCTTAACATATTAACAAATAAGAAGCATATCTCCAAATTAATGTATAGAAAACGAAATTATTATACATTAAAAGAACAAAAAAGTCGAGATTCTAAAACAAATCAATACTCGATTGACTAGAAACTAAAACTTAAATAACTAATACGAAAACAAAACAAAAAAAAAATCTCCAAATACTGTCAATTTTTCATAAATTCAATTAATAATCCCTCCAAACGTTCCCCATTTCGAAATTTACACGGAAACATGGATTATTTGGATCAAAATTATTATCAAACCGAAATTAAACAACTTATCACATCACGAGGAAGAGCGACAACAGTCTATCCGTAATTGGCGCCAATCGATCTAAGAGGAATTTGATTCCACGACGAAACCCAATTTCTCCTGCATTTGATCGAATCGCTCCACGAACTGAGCCAGCAATTGTGGCGCCCTCAGCGGTGTGATATCGTCACGGTTTGATTCTGTGGACCTAAAACAAACAAAATACATGAGAATAAGTCATCCATTACATAATAAATGTTATAATCCGTGAATCAAGAGATACACAGAAAATAAATATTGGAATCACTCGGCAATGGGTAACTTTAATTATAATGGTATACAATCTTACTATATTTGACCGACCAGGGCCGTATTTGAAAGATGTATTATGAACTCTCAAGTCCTTATAGACTACATTTTTAGTAAATTTTCGTTTTAAAATATGGTGTAAAATTTTTAATATAAAACAACACTGCATTCCAACATAATAAGGCTCGTATAATATAAGATAAAGAATATTACCTAAAGTTCATTCGATTCAGCTTCTCCTTAGACGGGGGTGTGTTTCCAGACCACGGTCCTCCCTCAGTTCTCCCCTCTCTCACCGACCACCTATCTTCGCTTGTAAACGATCCTCTCTCCTCATCAATTTTTTCGGCCTCTATAATAAACGGATTGAGATTGCGCGTCGGAGCCACTGTAGCAGTTGTAGGTAAATTGGCGAAGAGCTGACTGGACACCGGTTGGCCCACTTGGAAATGAGCGGGACTCGATTGCGCGTGGGCGAGAGCAACGCTGCGTCTCGATGCGTTTTTAAAGTGACGCGCGTTGATTTTCTCTGCTATGCGTACGCCGCTGTGCCACCTGCGCACCAAGTACTTCATTCGGATAAGCGAGATGACGACGAAAGCGGCAGCTCTGAATCGGTGTTTCAGCGTAAATTCTAATCGGAATTGCCGCCTCTGGACGACGGGATCGGGTAAGGCACTGATGGGGCATTCCTTTTGGTGGGACGTCAGATACTGCATGAGATAACGCTTTTGGAATATCAAAGCCTTTCTAACGCTTTCCAATTTCAGCGTTTTCGCAAACAGATAGTCGGCCTGAAATTATAATTTCGAAAAACGTAAATAAAAGTGCACATTGTTGACTCCCTATCAAAAATTTCTAATCCTAGCCTATTATTTTGACTTGTAAGTTTTTTATTATCGCATATTCCATTAACCCTGACACATTGTCCTGCAAAACCTCGCAATTCTAGCGCGTTTCTAAGCCCCATCTAGAGCAATCTCGTATTTTAAAATGTCTATCTTATATTAGGAGAAAATAAATATTTTTCGTGTCTCCTATAAAACCATTCTGCTCTGACCTAAGAAGTTTTGATACTAAGCCGACGAAATAACGAATTACTTAAATAATATTAATTGCGTCAGTAGTTCAAATGTATCTATCGTTAATTTAACCAAAATTAATGAGAAATAAAATACAAATTCTGTGTAGTTGAAATGTTTATAACATAAAACTGAAAATAGTTACATTTTTTTAGGTACAGATAAATATATAGAATTAATAACCGATATTTAATGCAGTAGCTTGAATGTATCGTACACAAAAACTGGCACATTTCCTTAATTTGAAACAATATTTCTGATAAATTAAGCGTCAGTTGTTAAAATATACAGAATTTACATTTTTATTGAAATAGGTTAAAAGCAAATAACGGTAGTTCAAATGTTTAGAATATAAAAACTAACAGTAATTGTACCTAGTTAAGTGATTTAACGCAGTAGTTCAAATGTATTGTATATAAAAATAAAAAGTAATTTAATTTTTAAGTTTAGATAAATATTTAGTATTAAAAAAACTCATATTTAAGACAGTAGTTCAAATGTATTGTGCATAAAAAACACATTTCAGTAATTTAAAACGTAGAACAGTATTTTTTATACCTTATAAGGTCAGTAATTCAAATATATTGAATTTAAATAAGTTAATGGAAAGCAAATTGCGGTAGTTCAAATTTTTATAACGTAAAATCTGAAAGTGGTTGCATTTTTAAAGTTCAGATAAATATTTAGGATTATAATTGATATTTATTGCAATAATTCACATTTATCGTACATAAAAAATCACACATTAATATGCTACGTAAATCAATATTTTTGAAAAATTAAGAGTACATATTTAAGATCAATTAACTGTTATTTAAGGCAGTATTTCAAATGTACCAGACAGTGAATTCCATTGAAATCACTGCGTGATCATTGCAGACGTTACAGGAGTAGTAAAACTATATTATCGTACTCAATCAATATTTCTGAAACGTCAGTAGTTCAAATATACCGAATTTAAATGTTTACAACCATAAAAACTAAAATTGTATTTTTTAGATTCAGATAAATATTTAGGATCAATTAGACCGCATTATGCACTAACGAATTAAGCGACAAAATTCAAAAATCGAGTAATAATAATAATAATCACTGAAACTTACATTACAAAACTTGTTCTTGGTTAAAGTTCCCTATTTTACCGATTTTAAAGACACTTGTATTAGGCGACATTTTCATATTTGCAATATTTCTATTCCTGTTTTTCGAAAACACGTAAATGTCGGTTAATTCAAAATTGCATAACGGGGTTCAATTAACCAATATTAAAATCTGTAGTTCAAATGTAATTTCATTGAAATAATTGCGCGATTCTCGCAAACGCTACAGGAGTAGTAAAAATATATTATCGTACTCACCCTGGCTATTAAATCGTTAGTGGACATTTGTACGTTCGCGTTTCTGTTGCTGCCATTTTTAGCCACGTCCAATTCGATCTCCAACTGCTTTTTCTCGTTGGTTAGCTTCGCGATCAAATCCATAAATTTCTTGTTGTCGATGAGCGCGCTGTTCAGCTCTTGAACTTTGAAGAAAAATTCGGACGGCGACGGTGTCGACGGCGGTGCTTGGACGCTGAATTGATTCTGCGATTTGATCCTTTCCAGCAATTCGAGTTTTTGCTTAATTAGATCGGCCTTTTCTTGGGACATTTCGTCCTAAAGTAGACAATAATGAACAAATTAAAGGAATAACCATTATTACCAAACAAGAAATAAGTTTAAAGATATTGTATGAACAAATATAGATAAAAATGAAACTATAGGAACTAGGTATTTTCAATATATAGCAAAGACTATTTAACTTTCTTCCAGAAAATGTTTTAAGAAAATTAAACTCATTTTTAAAAACTATTTTCAAAAGATATATAAAAAATTTAGATGCTGGACATTGACGAAAAAAATTTGAAATCTAAAAAATATATATCTAACAAAAAATGTAAAAAGTAGAAAGAAAACAAAAAATAATTAAATATATAATAAAAAAAGTGTAGTATATAATATATTAAATTACGAAGGTGAAAAGTGTCATTTTTCACACGAGTGGGAAATATTGTCCCTCGAGGCATAATCAATCAGTTTTTACCATCATTTTTTTTATTTTTTTACTTTCGATTCTTTTTTAGTATCATTATTTCTTTATACAATATTTCTTTTACAATTGAAACCTTTTTACCATCGATATACAAAATGGATTTTTTTAAGATAGACTGTTATTACCGAAAATGGTTTCATTTTACAATCAATTTTTTTTAATATTGATTCATTTACAGTTGATTCTTTTTATACTATTACTATTTCAAATTGTTTCTTTCTTACAATCGATTACAACGGATTCTTTATTTATTTATTTACAATCGATTCTTTTTGTATAATCGATATTCTTTAAAAGTGATTATTTTAAGATCGATACTTTTTAGTTGTTTCTTTTTACAATTGATTATTTTTACGATAGATTCTTTTTAACAATTTTTTTTTTTACAATAGATTCTATTTTACAATCGTTACTATCGATTTTTTTACCATCGATACTAAATAGATTATTTTTTAAGATCGATACTTTTTTACTATTAATATCTTTTAAATTTTTTTACTATAAATTCTTTTTTACAGTCGAATCTTTTGACAATCGTTTCTTTTTAAAAATTCTTGATACAATTAATTCATTTTACAGCGCGATTCTTTTTTTAACTATTACTTTTTGAAATTGTTTCTTTTTACAATCGATTAAAATTGATTCATTTTTGCAGTGGATACCTTTTTTACAATAGATTTTTTTACTCTCGATTCTATTTTACAATCGAATTTTCTTTTTTAGTAACTATCCTTTTTCAATAAATTCATTTTACAGTCGATTATTTTTTAGTATTAATACTAAAATTAATTAATCGATTTTTCTTTATTATCGATTCTTTTTTAGTATTAATACTTATCAAAATGATTTTGTTTTACAATCTATTCGAATCGATTAAATGGTGTCTTTATTTACCGTCGATTTTTTTTAAATCGATGCATTTTTTAACCATCGATACTCTAAACAATGGATTATTTTTACAATCGATTCTTTTTAAAATTGTATTTTTTGTACTATTACTTTTAATTTGATCACAACGGATTCTTTTTTACAATCGATTTTTTTTACAATTATCTTTTTTATAATCGACTTTTTTAATATACATTATTTTTTACTATTAATATTTTTAAAAAATGTTTTTCTTTACAATCGATTACATTGGATTCTCTTTTTAATATCGATTTTTTACAATTGATACTTTTTTACTATTAATGCCTTTTACAACTGTTTCTTTTTTCAATCAGTTTGTTTTCATAACCGATTTTTTTACAATTGATTACAATGGATCGTTTTAAACGATTTTATTTTTACAATCGATACCATTTTTACCTATATACACTACACAATGGAATATTTTTTTAAGATCGATGTTTTTTACTATTAACACCTTTTAAAATTGTTTCTTTTTGCAATCGATTCTTTCACAACTGTTTCTTTCTATAATCTGTTTCTTTTTACAATATATTTGTTTTACTATCGATTCTTTTTACAATACAAAATTTTAATTGGGACTCGCTGTATAGAAAACTCACCACGACTCGCTCCATCTCGAGATTCTTTTGCATCAAACAATCTTTCAACTCCTTCTCTCGGGCCAAAAAATTCTGCACCTTCTCTTCCAGCTTGTTCTTCCTCTGCACCTCCAAAGCTAAAATATCTTTGGTACACTTGTAACCGGATTCCGTTTCGAGATTCGATTGTTTCAAGTGGGACAATTCGTTGGCCAGTTGATTCTTCTCGCCTTGCAACGTTTCGAAATCCTTACGCAACTGTTTCAATTCGACGGCTTCTTTGCTCGGAAGTTGCTTGTATTCCGTCGATTCTGATTTAGAATTCTGAGCGTTCTTCACCTGAAAAACGTCAAGATAATTATGGAACCAAAAAAAAAATCGCGTGTGCGGGAAAACCATGACAAATATTAATAAACGGATCGCTATCAAAACTCACCTTCAATTCGTTCACTTCTTTCTCCAGCCGCTCATTTTCGGCGTTCTTTTCATCGAATATCTTCTTGTAACCCGCTTCGCTATCTAAACAAGAGTCCAATTGGATTCTGAGCTGTTCGATGCATTGAGCGTCTTCTGTTCTGGTTTGCACCAAAGCGGCACGTTCTCGCTCCAAATCGACTTGAAGCGCCGCTATCTTCGATTGGAGTATGTGCACATGCTGTAGAAGTTGTTTCTTGTTGTTTTTCTCCTAAATCGTAACGAGTAAAGTTATTTTCGCAAGGCTGTCATTTTTTTATAAAAGAAATTGAAAGGCAGACGGTTCCAGACTGTAACTTTACCTTAGAAAGAGCTTTCTTGCAAACTTCGACGTCGTGCATGTCCGATATGGAATTCAAACTTTGGTCGCTAACGGCGCTAAGAATGTTCGAATCCATTCGATTGGAATGGTCGAGCTCCCTCTTTAACTGATCGGCGATTTCATCTATGGACGAAGTCATGTCATTGTTTTTGAACTGCATCAATTGAGCTTTTAGATTGTGGATTTCTTGGACGAGTTCAGCGGTTTTGCGTTGTTCGTCTCTTAGCTTGTTGCCCAAGTCTATGATATTCCCGGGTTCCTGTTATTGTTAAAAATATTGTTTGCAATACAATAAAATTTTGATAAAAGCGGCACAACAAGGACACAGTTGAAACAGGCAATTTCGTTGCCTAACAAGGTCGAAAGAGATAATTTGTTCAATACAATTAAAAGAGGCAATTTCGTCGCCTAACAAGATTGAAAGACAAATTGGTCGACAAAATAGAAAGTAGAAATGTTATAGCCTAACCATGTTTAAAGAGACCACTTGTCAAAGTTGAAAAAGGTAATTTCCTTGTACAACAAATTCGAAAGAGGCATTTGTTTGATAAAATTGAAAGAGGCCCAAAAAGAAAAGTTGAAAGAGACAATTTCTTTGCCTAACAAGATTAAAAGATGAATTTATTTGACAAAAAGAAAAGTTGAAAGAAGCAATTCCGTTGCCTAACAAAGTTGAAATGGGCATTTTTTGCATGAAAAAGTTGAAAGAGGCAATGTAGTGGACTAAAAAGGTTGAAAGATGCAATTTCTTGCATGGAACAGTTTAAAGAAGCAATTTCGTTGCTTAACAAGATTGAAAGGTAAATTATTTGATAAAATTGAAAGAGAAAATATCGTAGCCTAACAATGTTTAAGGAGACAATGTGTTGTGAAACAAAGTTGAAGGAAGCAATTTCCTTTCAAAAAGAGGCAAATATGTTAAAAAAGTAATTTTTGCCTAAAAACGTTTAAAGAGACAATTTCGTTGCCAAACAAGGTTGAAAGAAGCAATTTCGTTGCCTAACGAGGCCGAAGTGGCAATTTGTTCTACAAAATTGATAAAATCAATGTCGATGTCCAACAAAGTTGAAATAGGCAATTTCTTGCATGAAAATGATAAAAGAGGCAATGCAGTAGCCTAGTAAGGTTGAACGTATTTTTGCATGAAAAAGTTGAAAGAGGTAATTTTTTTGCCTAACAAGGTTGATAGAGGCAATTTCTTGAACGAGTTTAGCGGTTTTGTTTTTTTCGTTTCTTAGATTCTTGCCCGGGTTCCCGTTATGACGGATATACATAAAAAAATATTGTTTGTGGTAAAACCATAGAAAATGTGTCAAAACAATCATAATTCTTACCTTAATTTTAGTTTTAATCGTCATGAGATTGACGTGCAGCTGATGGCTGTCCTCGGCCATCTGACTGATGATTTTCTCTTTCTCATTGAGCAGATCCATCAAGTGAGCGCGTTCCTTGTTCAATTCCTCGATTTGCGTTTCCATCTCGTCCATTTGCTTCTTCAATTCTTCTTTTTTCAGTTCTTTAATTTCTGTTTTCAGAATACATATATCGTTTTGATATCGATCCGCGTCTTCGTTCAGGATATCGATAGTTTCCCGCTGTTTTTTCTGATCCTCCTGCATCGATTCCAACGATTTCTTTTGATTATCCATCGCGTCCTGGATGTCCCTAATGATCTTTCGCTTCTTGTTCAACTTCTCTTTGAGCGCGGTGAGTTCGCCGGTCATAGATTCGATTTGCGTCATCTTGTTCTCCAGTTCTTTGTTCATTTTTTTCATTTCGTTGTCTTTGTCTGTCAGCGAAGCTTCTAGGAGTTTGTTTCGGGATTCGGAAGATCCCAAGTCGATCGTAAGCTGTTCGATTTCTTTTAATAAAGAAGACATTTCATTATTCTTCTCAGACAATTGTTGTTCCAATCTTTCAATGTCTACATTAGCTTTGCGTGCCAACTGCACTGTCAAGTCTTCTATCTCCTTATTTTTTACTTGGATGGCGCGATCAACATTCTTAAAGTTTGCGTTCTTTAACGTCACGATTTCCTTTTCCAAACTCTTCAATTCCCTGGTTAGATTTTTGTGCGTTTCGTCTTTACGCTTCGAATCGCATTCCAAAACCTCCAACTGCTTTTGTTTCATCTCCAATGCCAGTTTCTTCTCGGCTAATTGCACTCCCAAGTCTTTTTCTCTGTCCTTCAGCTCTTGCTGCTCCTTTTCGAACGTTTCTTTGGCGGCGGTCAGTGTTTTTTCGGTTTCTTCTAGTGCCGATTGCAATTTTTCGATTTTGCCTTCAAGGTCGTTCAAGAGCGTCAGTTTGGCGTCGTATTCTTTGATTACGTCATCTTTGCTTTCTACTAGTTTCTTTAAATTCTCGATTTCAGTTTTTAAATCTTCGACATCACCATCTTCGAAATGGACCTTTTTGTGGGATATTTCGGTGGAATTTCTAGTTTGGAATTGGGATGCGGTCGTCCCGGGACCCGCTATCGCTGATATTTCCGGTTCCACTGCGCTATCATCGGATTTTTTCTTTCTTTGGATAAACATACTCGGTGTACTCATTGTACTGTACTCCATCCTTCTAAGTTGATCGGCCTGGCTCAAATCTAGTATGCTGAAGAGCTCTTCCAAGCTGGTACCGTTGCTTTTCATACTAGCCAACGTTTTTAGATCCTTTTTATCCAATTTCAAAGACGTATACTCTTCCAACAACTTCTCGGTATCGTCCAATCTCGATCGCAACCGCGCCATATCGGTGTTCTTATCGGAAATGATGTTCCCGACCAAATTCGGCAGCATGCTGGCATCGCTCTTAATCTTGGTCTTCATTTTAGCGTTATCGGCCCGCAATTTTTCAACTTCTCGCTGCATCGACACTATTAGTTCGTCGTCTTTGGATGTAATCAACTCGTTTTCGATATTCCTCAATCGATCTTGCGTTTCGGTCAACAAAACCTGTTGGTTGCCGAGAGCCTTTTCTTTCTGCTGTAATTTTTCGCGCAGCGACGTAATTTCATACTGAAGATCGTAGATTTTCAATTCGAAAGAAGTGTTGGTTTGCTTTTCGATGTTGTCGGCCCTGATGCGTTGTTCATCCAGACGAATTTGGAAGTCCGAAATGAGGACTAGTTGTTCTTGGATTTGTTTCTTCATGTAGTCACGTTCGCCGGTCGTTTCCTATTAATAAATACAAATTTTAATAAAGGGTGTAGACATAAATTGCATAACAAGGTTGAAAGAGGCAATTTATTGTCTGACAAAGTTGAAAGAGGCAATTTAGTTGCCTAACAAGTTTGAAAGGGACAATTTTTTTGCATGAGAAAGTTGAAAGGGGCAATTTCGTAGCCTAACTTTGAAAGAGCAAATTCGTTGCCTAACTTTGAAAGAGGCATTTTGTTGCCAAAATATGAAAGAGGGAATTTGTTCGATGAAATTGAAAAAATAATTTTTTTGAATGAAAAGGACAAGAGAGGCAGTTTTGATGACAAATAAGGTACGGAGGGGCAATTTGTCTGACAATTGAAAGAGGTAGGGCCGTGGCTTGAGTTAAAAGATGCCATTTATTCAACTAAAGAGGCAGTTTCGTTGCTTAACCAGTTTGAAAGAGGCAATTTGTTAGATAAAAATAAAGGAAGCCATCTCGTGGCCTAATAAGATTGAAAGAGACAATTATTGGCATAAAAAAGTTGAAGGTGCAATTTATGCAATTTAGTTCCCTAACAAGGTTATTAGAGGCAATTTTTGACAAAATTGAGAAACAATGTCGTTGTTTAAAAAAGTTGAAATTCATTTTTTGCATTAAAATGCTGAAAGGGGCAATTTTATTTTCTAGCAAGGTTCAATGTCTTTATTTAAGTACCTCAATTTCTTGTTTCAGACGAAAAACTTGCATTTCCAGATCTCTTATTCGCTTCATAGCTGCATCTTCTGCTCTGGAATGCCTGATTAATTTCTCTTTGAGCCTGGCCAGCTGCTGCAAAGGCACTTCACATTCTTCCATCTTTTTCGGACTCTTGGGTAAAACCTAATTAACACATAATATGGCAGTTAAATTAAAATTATATTGCGCTAGTGGTTGGTAAGTACCAATTCTCTGGCCGAGACGTCCTCCGATGGGGAACTGCAATTTGTACTAGCCGTTGAATGAAGAGTTTCTAATTCTTTTGTTTTTCTGTCCACCTGGCACTCGATTTCATATAACTAAATACGGAAATAAAGAAGTTAGATAAGTAGTGATGACATTACAATTTCAAATCGACTCACCTGCGTCCTAAACTGCTTGATGGCCCCCCTCGTTTCCCGCCAACTCGGCGTGCAACCTCAACGTTTGCAACTCGTTCTCCAAGTGCTCGACGTGCTTGTACAATTCCTCGACATCTGAAACATTTCTAGTTGAGCATCCCGACACCGCCTCACTTACTCTGTCCTGCTGTTCGACGATACATTGCAACTTTTTGACCGCCTCGACGTACTGGTCGATCTCCTTTGACTTAGATTCCGTCTGCGTTTCCAATTCGCGGATAATTTCGCGCAGTATTTGGATCTTTTCCACGGCTTCGTTTCGTTCGGTTTCCGTTTCTTTCGATTTGCGGACGGCAGCGGCCAGAAGGGCGGCTTTCTCTTGCAGCTGGTGCTCGAGGCGTTCCACCTAAACAGGCAGGATTGAATAATCAGTCGAAGCAACTTCTTACCTAATAGAGGCTATTTTGTTGCCCGACTATGATGAAAGATAAAATTTTGTAACAAGCTTGCTGTTTAACAAGAATCAAAAAGGCAATTTTGTTGTCTGTCTATCTTAAAAGATGCTGTTTTGGTGTTTAAAAAGGTTGAAATAGGCCATTTTGTAAGAGGCATTTTTGTTGCATAACTAGAATAAAAGAGTTGCCAGACTATATTGAAAGATGCTATTTTTATGCCTAACAAGGTTGAAAGACGCCATTTTGTCAAACGAGGTAATTTTGTTACCAAATCAGCTTGTAAGAGGCAATTTTGTTGCATAACTAGGATGCAAGAGGCCATTTTTGTATCCGACCTTATTGAAAGATTCAATTTTTGGGCCTTAAAAAGTTGAAAGAAATCAATTTAACTGATAATGTTAAAAGAGGCAATTTTGTTGCCAAAAAAGCTTGAAAGAGGCAATTTAGATGCATAACTAAAATAAAAGAAGCAATTTTGTTACCCAACTATGTTGAAATATGCAATTTTGTCGCCTAATTAGAATAAAAATGCAATTTTCGGGTCCGATTATGTTGAAATATGCTACTTTTGTTCCTAACAAAATCGAAAAAGGCCATATCGTTGACCGACAATCTTAAATGAGACAAATTTGGTATCAAACAAACTTGTAAGAGACCATTATGTTGCATAAATATAATGAAAGCTGCAATTTTGTTGCCTAACCAGCTTGACAGAAGCAATTTTATTGTCCGATTATCTTGAAAGATGCAATTTTTGCGTTTAACAAGGTTGAAAGAGGCCTTTTGGTCAAACAAGCTTGTAAGAGGCTATTTTGTTGAATAACTAGAATGGAAGATCCAATTGAAAGAGATAATTTTGTTAACCGAGAATGTTATAAGTGACAATTTGGTTGCCTAACAAACTCGAACGAGGCAATTTTATTGGTTCACGAGAATTAAAAAGGCAATTTTGTTGTCCGACTATATTAAAAGATGTAATTTTTGTGCCTAACAAGGTTGAAATAGGCTATTTTGTTGCAAAAATAAAATGGAAGGTCCAAGTTTGTTGCCTAGCAAGGTTGAACAAGTCATTTTTGTTAACCGGTAATGTTAAAAGAGACAATTTTGTTGCCTAACAAACACGGACGAAGCCATTTTGTTGCGTAACAAGAATGAAAAAGACAACTTTGTAAACTGACTAATATTGAAAGATGCAATTTTTGTGGCTAATAAGATTGAAAGAAACTATTTTGTTATCCGATAATGTTAAAACAGATGATTGAAAGAAACCATTTTGTTATCCGATAATGTTAAAAGAGGTAATTTTGTTGCCAAACAAGCTTGAAAGGGACAATTTTGTTGCATAATTAGTGTAAAAGAGGCAATTTTGTTGCTTAAAAAGGCGTTATTTTTGAGCCTGCAAAGTTTAAAAAGGCAATTTTATTAACAGACAATGTAAAATGAGACAATTTTGTTGCGAAACGAGCTTGCAAGAGGCAATTTTGTTGCGAAACGAGCTTGCAAGAAGCAATTTTGTTGCCTAACAAGCTTAAACGAGGTAATTTTATTGCTTAATAAAAAATGAAAAAAATCAATTTTGCTGTCTAACTACATTGAAAGAGGCAATTTTTGTGCCTAACAAGACCATTTTGTTGGTCGATAATGTTAAATAAGGATATTTTGTTGCATAACTGGAATTAAACATGCAATTTTCTAAACTAACAAGTTTGTTGCCGAACAAGAATGAAAAAGGTATTTTGTTGTCAGAATATATTAAAAGATGCAATTTTTGTGCTTAACAAGGTTGAAAGAGGCCATTTTATTTCGATAATGTTAAAAGAAGAAATTTTGTCGAAAAACAAGCTTGTGAAAGGTAATTTTTTGCACTAGAATTGCAGAGCCAATTTTGTTGCATAACAAGAATGAAATAGCCAATTTTGTTTTCCGATGATATTGTAGGACAATATTTTTGAACCTAACAAAGTTGAAAGATGCTATTTTTGTGAATCTAATAAGGTTGAAACGAGACAATTTTGTTACCCGAAAAAGTTAAAGGAGGCAATTATGTTGCAAAGCAAACCTGTAAAAAAAATTTTGTTGCATAACTGGGACGAAAAACGCAATTTTCTTACCCAAATATGTTGAAAAATGCAATCTTGAAAGAGACAATTTTTGCCTGATAAGAATTAAAAATGCAATTTTGTTGTCAGACTATGTTAAAAGAAGCAATTTTGATGCCTAACAAAATAATCGATAATGTTGCATCGCCTGAAGACATATACGAGTAAATCACACTTTTTGGATATATGGAATGGTGCAAATGGAAGTATTAATAGACGTCTTTCTATATAGGTGAATTGGGCGAAGAGAATCAATCAAATTGCCACCTAGAAAGCCAAATTTAACTCCGCTTGATTGATGTTTATGGGGGTATGCAAAATAATAAAATATAACACAAAATATCGGAGGCATTACGGATTAAGATGGCGTAAATAACTGTGGTGGAAGTTACAGAGAAAGTTCACTGCTCGTCTGTCTGTTTGAAGGTCCGCAATTTGAGCATTTGATTTGAATTTGTTTGTAATTAATCAATAAGCATATTAATATTTGTAATAATAAAAATGTTTGACTGTATAAAAACCTGCATTACTTAAAATTTATTAACCTTTCAAATGATGTATCGCATGAACTACGAAATAATGAATGCATTCCTTTCATTTTCACTATACTATAATTATCTTGTAGGTAAAAAAAATCGAATGAAAAGCTGTCTAGAATCAAAGAGCGAGAGTACTTTGAAATACGATAGATATTTTTTTATATAAACAAAATTATTCTATAAATACTTAAAAGAAATTTTATCAACTACCTTCATACCTATTGTAATTGATTTAAATATCAATAAAGTTTAGCATTAAACTGTTAATAATAATTAATAATAATAATATTCGACTTTTTAACTAGTGTTAATTATCAAAAATTCATGCGAAAAACATGCCTGTCAAAAATAAAATGTGCATATATACGAAAATGTTGTAAATCACTGAATCACCGAATGCCCGACTGCAGCATCGCGTACTGGTAAAGATGGAAACGTAAAAATAACTTTCGTGAGAGATATAAATATACCTACACTTCCTTTCACAATCCCCGTCTTTCATCCTAAATAATAATTATTCTTTTTATCAATCAATCGTATGATATAATTCAAGATGAGAGAGAACACGAAAATTCTATTTTCTAAAAATCAAAATACAGGGTGATTCACGACGAAACGAATGACCGTTCGTCAAATACCGTCAAAATGAATGGTTAATTATTCTTTTTATAAATCGTACGATAATTTAAGATGAATGAGAGTAGGAAAATATTTTTTTTCTAAATTCAAAATACAGGGTGATTCACGACGATACGAATGAACGTTCGTTAAAAATATTCGAAATGAATGCTTGAAACTATTGTTAATCTATCCTTTTTAACAATAAATCATACCATATTTCAAGATGAACAAGAGTAGGAAAATATCATCCAAATGAATGCTTAAGAGTGTTAATAACTATTATTTTTTATAAATCAGTCGTACGATAATTCAAGATGAACGAGAGTAGGAAAATATATTATTTTTACGATTCACGATGAAACGAACGGTAATATTCGTCAAAATATCGTACTAATAATGAATGCTGTAAAATTGTTGTTGAATATTTGTTATATTACCTGCAAAAGCGTGAATCTATGTGTAGCTTTAGTACAAACACCATTTACCTGTAAAGTGTAAAAAGCATGTCTAAAAATACGTGCACAACTAGCAAGACTTTTGTGTCAATAGTATTAGTATAAAAAATATACAATATACAAAATGTTTGTAAAAGGTCTTAACAGAAATATGCCACATATTCCTTAGATCAAAATAAGCCGATTTAAGTAAACTTACTTAAGTACAAAGTTGTTCAGTTTGGGCAATAGAAATTTTTTTTATCAAAATTACGACTAATATTAATACATAGGTGTGGAACTTAATTTTTTCAATTATTGCGCATTTACAATTTCTACGTCAATGGAAGAAAAGGGATTTGAGTATGAAATTTATATTGCGTAACTAATTTACTACAAAAAAGGTACTCTTAATAATATTTGATTACTCTCGTGGTTTTGGCGAAATTTGTATTTTAATAATTTGGAGTGTAAGCAAGAATAAATAATAACCAGAAGGATATCTCCGATCACGTAATCTTCGAGGGCTCGTGACCTTCAAGCACAACTACACCGATATTCTGCACCGAAACTTTCAGTGCAGTAGCGACTGGCACGGGCGGTGGTATCGAAATCGTGAATTTATAATTATTATTCTGTTGTTTCTGTTATTTTGCATAAATATTTTTATCGTTGAATATTTTCTGATTTTGTTGTGCTTTAATGACAGTGTGAGTTATGGAAGAAGACAAAAAAGCTAGATTTGTTTGTAGTTATAAAGACTGCAAAAATAAATCTTATATCGGTGCACATTCATTTTACAGATTTCCTCAAGATGTTGAAAGGTAATATAAATAAAGTATAATATATAAGTCAAATACAGGGTGTTTTAAATTAGCTGTTACTTCGGGATATTTTCTGTATCTTTAATCTGAGGAAGGGTGGGTTGCCCCACAGTACTTAGGGTATATCTTAATAATAGAATATTATGCAACGATCATGTATTAATACCCAACAGATAGGAGTTGCATACCCTATTTTTTCTACGACCAAGAACCAGTTCTTCAATCGAAAATAGATTAATTTAAAAAATTATAATGCTTTTAATCCCTCAAAACCTTAGATAATCTAATTTGTTATGACTACTTGTTAAGACAACTAAATAATAAGTCTTTATTTATTTCCCAAAAGTGTTTCGGATTTTTTTCCGCTATAGCCTTTGGACTTGAACATTATCGTTGCTGGTCATCTTTTTTCAAATTTAAAATAAATTTTCCAGAAACTGTCAAAAACTATTTAGAGAAAATAACTGGATGCTTACATGATTATAACAAAATATAGGTTTCTATTATCAATTTTTCAGTTTCATAATGAAAAACCAGTGCTATAATGAATATCTATGAAACTGAACATTAACATTTAATTAACAAATGATAGTACATGAGTAGAACATAATGTTTACATGCTGGTTAGCAAGAACCATGACGCAATTAAAAGTAGTCGAATTAACAGTATTTATTTATAAATGGTTTGGGCGCGAGTAATATACAAAAATACCTTTTTTAAGAATCAAAAGGTTTCTTTTTTGACCTACAAAACTAAATTATCTCTAATATTTTCTTGTTATGATGTTATGTTATGTTGAGAATGGGGTGTTAATACACTGCGACCTAAAAGATCTATCGTGTCCCCTTCTGTCGCTAATGCACTAAGGAAATGTCTCAATGCCTATAACCACCCTTCCAATCCTATTTTCTCAAGGAAGTGTAGTATTTGAAGTGGCTTCAAATTAGGTAAATCTCCCTCTTCTATTTGATATCCTCCTAGATATAGTGCCCTTGGATTTTGGAGTGCTACACATTCAGTTAGGATGTGGATGGAGATTTCTTCCTCCTCCTCCTCACCGAATCTGCACTCAGTATCCTCTACTACTCTCAGTTTACTTAGGTGTCCTTTTAGTCGGCAATGCCCGCTAACGATCCCTGTTACAATACGTAGCCTGTTCTTGCTCAGGCAGATGCAGGCTTCCGATTGTTATGATACATTTTAGGTAATTTTCAGAATTTAAAAAAATGCCAGGTAGTAATGACCTATAAAAACTGAATTATCTGTAATAATTGCTTGTTATGGTACACTTTAGGTAATTTTCGGCATTTCTATATTTAATATCTAATATCTTTCTGGAATTACCCTAATTATACCCTTATTATTCATACATACCTTAATGTTTATTTTATTAAATCAATAAAAATAATCTATTTTTTTATTAAACTTTATTAAGACCAAAATTTTTAATGAATATACCAATTAGAAAAAATTGAAAAATTATAATATCGCGCCCAAATGTCCGGTTTCGATCTCAAAGTGTAGTTAATTTATTGTATAACTTTACTTATTAAATTCACATTTAAATTCAAAAATATATGTTTTTAGTGCATATTTTGACTGTTTTTTGTGCATATTTGCATCCATATTTTGTTTTTTAAGTGCTTATCTTCCGAGCTTTATTAGTTATCCCAAAATTTATACTCTATCCCAGACAATGGAAATCTGAAGCTATCAGGTTAAATAAAATGAAAAATAAGTGTAATCTTTAATCAGAGCGAAATCTTGGCTCTTAGCGTGTTATAGAACAGATTTATTATACAAAGTAGACACTCTTCACAAGAGCTATAGAATTTGTGATGTTCATTTTTCTCCACGGATGTTCCAAAAAGAAAGAGACAAATACTGCGAAAAAATGCTGTTCCACTCAAATTCGTTTCAAGTGGCATCATTGACGAGGCAGTTCCAAGTACACCGACTTCTAGCACTGAAACCTCTCAAGTGCCATGTACGAGTATTTTATATCAGCTTTTGGAACCATCAGCTTCAACCATTGGCAACTCTTCCGATAAGGCAGAATCGATTCAGCAGTCTGCAATACGTTTTCCTTCACGGAGTGTCCAAACATCAGAGGAACTAACTTTTCGAAGCCCAAGAAAGGAAAAACTAAGGGAGATCAACAATGCCCTGAAATTTGAGAACAAAGCATTGAAAAGAGACAACCAGGTCCTTCTTAATAAATGTAACAATCTTGAAAAGAAGCTTCAAGAAAAATTGGAAGATACGATCACTCTCGAACAGTACAAAACTTGTACGTATTCACTGTGCCCATCCAAAGAACTCACAGAATTTATTAATGTTCAGATTACCCAAAGCATGAAATCAGCTAAAGATCGAAGGTATTCGGACGAATTTAAATTTAAGTGTTTATCACTATATTTCTCTGGCCCAAAGGTTTATAAAACACTTCAAACTAAATTATTTTGCCTGCCTAGGCCGCAATCCCTTAGAATCTTATTACGTGGGATAGACATCCCACCAGGTTTGGAAGTCTCCAATGTGTTCAAAACACTTAAAAATAAAGCTGACAATTTTAATGAAATGGACAAATATTGTGTACTGTGTGTAGATGAGATAAGCATAAAGGCAAATTTTTTTTAACCGTAGTGCGGATTATGTTGTAGGCGTGGAAGATCCCGGTAATGGGAAAAGTATTTAAACCAGCAAGAACAGCCACCGTCTTGTTGGCCAGGGGGATTTTATCTAATTTGAGTTATTTTTTTTACAATAGTACATGCCCTGGTTTAGAGTTAAAGTATATAGTTTTTGATGCTATTAAAAAGTTAAGGAATATTGGACTGAACGTTATTGTTACCGGAAGTGATATGGTCTCCAATAATATTCAATGTAAAAACTTTTTGCAAATAACCCCTGACGATCAAAAATTTTTTTTATATTCGATATACCTCGCCTCATCAAGGATATATGAGAAACATGTTACTGAAACATACTTTTCTTGTTTCTAATAAAATAGTTTCTTGGTCATATATTACGCAATTTTATAATATTGATAAGTCGTTAGTTACTAGATCAGCGCCTAAACTAAGTGATTCGCATATATTTACTAGTAATTTTGAAAAAATTAAGGTAAAATATGCAAGTCAGGTATTTAGTCTTACAGTTTCAGCGGCTTTAAATGTGTACGTCGAATTAGGTAACTTGTCTGATGAAGCCCAGGCAACTGCTGATTTTATTGATAAAATCGACAAATTATTTGATATTTTAAACTCATCAAAAACATCAGACGGGAAGAAATATAATTTGGCGTTTAAGGGTCTCGACTTTCAACTGACATTTTTAAATGAGATGTTATTGCTTTTGGAAAACCTTAATAACCTAGGCGAGGATGTAACTAAAAAAATGAAGTTTATAACAGGTTTTAAAATAACAATTAGCTCCATTCTTCATTTATGGGATTTTCTTAAAACAAAAAACGTTAAGTTTCTTTTTACTAGACGTTTAAACCAAGATCCGTTAGAAAATTTGTTTGGTCTTATAAGACAGCAAAATAGTAATTGTGCTAATCCAACAGCCATTCAATTTCAAAGAACCTTTAGAAAGTTGTTCTGTGTAAAGCTACTCAATTCAGGAACTCAAAACTGCGAGAATGACATGGATAATATGCTTCTGCGAATATCTGATGTCATTAAAGAGAATACAAATTCATTCGTAGCTCATACACATCCCCATACATCAAATTTGCCAGAAATTGATAGCAGTTATCAAAAAGAGTCCACGTTAGAAACGATTTTCGAAAGGTATTTTGCGGGTTACCTAATGAAAAAATGCCTATCTATACATGCTTGTACAATTTGCGAGGAATATTCAAAAGCCTATCAAAATTTGGACGATACATCTTTATTTTGTTACTATAAAGCTTATAACAGCTCCAATTTAGATTTATTTGGTAACTTAAACATGCCACACAATGATTTTGTAAAATTTATCTCCCATTTAGAGGTAATATTTCAAATAAATTTTGAAACTATTATTATACACAAAAATGTAATAGATACGTTTCAAAGTATTTGTAGAAATACAAATTTTTCACATCCATGTGAAAAATTTCCACATAATTATTTAATAAAATTATTCGGTAGAGTAAGATTATTTTATAAGTACTCTTACGAGTAAATGTATTAACCGAAATTTTAAAACTATAAAAGACAAAAAAGGTTGTCATTTGGAAAGATAAGTAAATATTTTTATATATATATAAATCTTTTACTTACCTATATTTGTAATGTATGAACTTAAAAAATAAATCAATAGCTATCCAATATTTTTTTAATTTTCCTGACCTTTTTTTCGGTGCGCCTATGGAATACAAGTAATAACTAAAAGACGAGGTCATAGCTCGGGCATCAACTACAAAGGAATTAAATGAGAGCTATCCTTCTGGTTATTATTGTGTGTAAGCTTCACAAAAAGACATAACACAAATAACAAAGATTTCATAAAAACTGTTTAAAATGTTTACCATTTATAATTTTATAATAACACTTTGCCTAATTTACCCACTTACTGGTGAATTTTAACCCCCGAAGCCGACTGAGCTTGTGGAGAAGAGACGGATATTATTATTTGTCGTGGCGTTCCGGGGCGACTTAAAGATTATTGATGGTGCGATTTGACTTACAGATGAGGAAGCCCCGGAAAACCTCACCGAGCATCATGGAAACGGTAAAGCATTGCGATTTGTAATCTAGATGCCACATCAACCTCAATAGAGGTAAGTTTACTTAAATTCACTTATTTTGAACTAAGGAATATGTGCGTTTTTGTAAAGACCCTTTACAGACACCCTGAATAGCCAGAAATTGGGGGTTGTGAAAAATGTAAAAAAATATATATTTCATGTATATGATAGGATATGATTAATAGTAAACATACAGGGCGGCGAAAATAATTATACAGCTTTAACGAGTCATCTCGTATAAATGATGCTTCCAGTAATTTTTGTATGATATTAGACCTCTTCATCAAAGGTTTCAAACTTGAAGGTCGCGACCCACCTAGGGGGTTCCAAAATATTTTCTAACGAGTCACGTTATTTTTATTTCTAATTATTTTTCTTAAAATTTCACAATTTTTAGGTATAATATCGGGTTCTGCAACATACCAACATTTCACAAAATTTGATGGATAACTATTTTTCCATAAAAAATGTACCTGGACATTTTCGCTGCCCTGTATGTGAGTCTACTAGTATCAAAGCTGGCAACCTCCACTCGAAGTTTTTTCAGGAGAGCAGTTTTTTGTTTTAAATATACGTTTATTTTAAAAATAGTAATGGATAGTAAAAAAGTTAAAGTAAAAATGTTGTGCTCTTACTCTAAATCAGACTGTATATCTGTACCTCGGAGCCAGACTATGTTAAGTCCAAATTGGCCAAATTTTAGGTAAATATGTTAAGTGATTTAAGATTTTGCGGCGCATGGTTCGATATTTTCCATTTTGACGTATCTTTTAAAATAACAAAAACAGCTCATTTTTTAACTACGCTAAGCCCATACTCCATAGTCTAAAATGAATATATAAAAAATGCTCTCCTGAAAAACTAAGTTTTTGGACTTAACATACTCTGGTTCTGGGGTACAGATATAGAATATTAGTAAACAATGTACAACATGGGGTATTAGTATACAGTGACCAATAAAATGGAGTAGAAGGTTTCGTCACCCCTTTGACCCCCTACTTTTGTAGACAAAGAAATTCAGTAAAAAAAAACAGGACGCCATTGAAATTCTACATCTGCTTTCCTAGTTGTTGTTTGTGAAAGCCTTGATTACTGATTTATAGGCCCCAAAAGGAAGGTCATAGTAAAAAATACAATGACATTTTTATATTGATCTTAAATCACTGAATATTTGTTTACGTTTTTTTTTTACTAATTTACAAATTTAATTTACAATTATTCCTTTGTATTATCGATCATTCATAAAGTTTTATTATAGTAGAAAAAATCGTGATCAAATATTCAGTGGCTTAAGATCAATAGAAGTAGAGCATTTTTCAATATGACCTTTCTTCGGGGGCTTACAATTCAGTAATTAAGGCTTTCACAAACAAATACTGGGAAACACAAAATTTCTAAACATGTAGGATTTAAGTGACGTTCTGTTTTTAACTCAATTTTATTGTCTAAAAAAGTAGGGGGGCCAAAGGGGTGCGGGAGCCTTCAAAAAACATAAGAATTAAAACAATTTGAAACGGCACTAATTTCATTTTATTAGTCACTATATACTAACATCTTATGTGTCGCCAAGTTTTTAACGAGTTAATAACCTGAATGACTTTGATGAACTGGGAAGATGGTTGACTCTGGATACCTCTCAGCGACAACCAGCAGGTTTAGACGAGTTAAGAGGCAAGTTCTATATGCACTGGAGGATGCACAATGGGTCTTATAGCTCTAGGATATTAGAATGGTTTAACTTTTCCAAGGTGGTATCATTATATATGCGCGCGTCGGTACTCGTACTCGTCAGCTGAAGGAATAAAAAGTATTGAATACTCTAAAATATAAAGTATTCGAAATTTTTTAAGTCCCATCAGGATGAAAGTATTTACGAGTACCAATTACTGAGCGCTTTGAGTACTCAAGTACAATTTACTCGAGTACTGCCCAGCTCTGGTAGTTTGTCTATCTGTCGTTACGATAATTGCCCGTAGGGCCCGAACCCATCGAATTTCACTACTACGGAAACATTGACTTTTCTCTGTAGAATCATGTCGGAACATTTTTAATTTTCCTTCAGAGAAAGTGGGGTTCCATACATTTAACCGGCTTGATGAGTCGCGTTGATTAAAGTCAGGGGCGGCTCGTGACCAAAATTTTGGGGGTTCACAGTAACAGAATATAGATCCCGGTACAGATATAGGTAAAAAAATGTCAGTGTTTTAGAAACGTATATTATAAACTTTCTAAAACACTGAAAGTTTTTTCATACATCTGTACTGATACCTATATTCTGTCACTGTGAACCACCCCAGGAGCCGCCACTGATTAAAGTATCACATTTAAGGGTTTTTATGACAGGTGGAGGAGAGAAAACAGAAAATCCGCGAAAATTTAGAACAGAATTTATAAAAAAATTAAGGTAAATATGTTTTAAAATTTCCCTACGGAATGGTGTAGGAAATTTGAAATTTAACAACAGTAAAGTGGGTTTCCACCAATTTTCCGGCTAAAGTAACTTTTTTCGACAGCGCATTTATTCGTTTCTGGATTTTTTTTTCGTTCGGCAAGAATCCATAAATATTTTTTCCGTCGATTTTTCCGAAAAAAAGAAACCTAAAAATTTACATGTACTACTCGACGTTCCTCACAAATTAGGGAAATATTTGGGTGGGACGCTTTTTAAGAAGAAACTTTGTGTAAAACAGGAAAGCAAAAATACATTACAACATTATCAGGCTCGACGAGACTCGTCCATTGATATATCACATGACATGGTTTTTATGACAGGATGTTTGCTTTGTTTTAGAAATTTAACGAAAATTTAAAATAAATGCGTTTTTAAAATTTCTCTATCGGATGGTATCGGAAAATATGAATGTTTTTAACGTTAAAGTGCTTTTTCACCAAAACTGATTTATGACAGGGGGAAGGCTAAATAAAAAACCGTACAGTTTCTAGAAATTTATAAATAATTGAAAATAAAAGCGTTTTTCTCTGTTGGATGGTGTTGGAAAATTTGAAATTATACGACAGTAAAATGTTTTGGTTATTACCTATTTTTCAGTTATATTATTCAGAAGTATTAGCAAAACTTTAAATGCGTTTTCTCGTAAAGTTTATTTTACAGATTCGTTACTATTGTTCTTACCATGGCCTTCTTTACCTTCTTACAAATGAAGTATTTTAAACGCAAAAAGCCGATAAGTGATACTTAAATGTTTCATGATATTGTTTTTGTTTTGAGTTCATGTTAGGTTAGCGCATGATCCAAAGAAAACAGAGGTATGATACTTGGCCAATGAAATCTCGTCAAGTTCGCGCATGACGTTTTGTGGTGTGGAATATGGTTATCTGACTGGCCATGAGCCTATTAAAATTTATTTTCGCACGTTGTTTTCCATCAGCTGATACGTCAAATTCGTAAAAGCCACGCCTTCCACTACATTACCGTGACGTATGTATCAATCTGCGTAATATAATTCCTTCTTTTTATAGTATCATGGGTTAGCCGATGTAATTTTGTTGAGTTAAAAGAGTTAATTACAGTCCATCTTGTGAAATTTTAAATAATAAATCATCTTGTGAATATCACCAGGTTTTATTATAAACTATAGTTAAATCAGGTGATACTAAGCTTCAAGTAGAAATAGTTGGTAGGTCTAACTCGAGTTTTATGAAATGTGGAGATTGTCAGCATTGATACTAATAGGCTTAAAAATATTTGAGGATTATCGGATAAAACAGGTTCACACATAACTTACTCTCAAAACCAATTTAATACCAAAATCTCAATTTAATTTCAATTTCACAAAATCCCAATTTCTAATCTACATATACGAGTACAAACATTAATTTATCCATTACATATTGTAAAAAAAAAATAAAACTGCAAAAAATATAAACAACATACCTCCGATGTAGCTCTTTCACGACCGATTTTATCCTTATCCCTTTCTTTCAGCTGATTATACAAGTCGTCGATCGTCTTCTGGGATTCGTCTCTTTCCTGTTCTCGTTCCATAGCTTGTTCTTCCAGGAATTGTTGGGTCGTCCTGTATTTTTTATCGGCCGCTTCTATCTGCGATCCCAAAATAACATAAAAGTCATTTTAATAAACCGACTTCAAAATCGTGCCATGACATTACAAATTGAGTTTGCTGATTTTATCATAGATCCCATAATCAGATCTTAATTAAATGTATATGGGACTAGAGATGGGTTGCGACGAAATTTTCGTGTCGCTGCGACAAACAGCGACTGCTCCGAAAAAGTCGCAGTGACAAATCGCCGCGACTTTTCGGAGCGGTTAACTAGATCGCGACTTGTGACCTGTGTCACGTTCTCACGTAAGAAATAGCTGCTATTTTTTTAAATCGTTGCATTTTCTTCGAAGCAGTTTAAATGACCGTAATTTTTTTGGCAATCTATGCTCTTTTGTGCAATATTTTTTTAAGGAGGCCCTTTCGCCACACCTCTCGACTCAAATGTTAAAAAAAAAGTTATTAGATTATGACTAAAATTAATTTTTTTCTAATAGTTGAAGTCCTTATTTATCTAATACTGAACTTTTAACTATACCTTACCTTGCAAATTTTTGAGAATTTTTTTTTTTTAAATGTGAGTATTTGTACAGTGCCTCACGAGAAAGTAAGTCCTCAACAACAATTCTCGAATTATACTATTATTTATTGATTAGATGGAGTAGAAAAAAACTAAAAATAAGGTTTTTGAAATATTTAGATTTTGTTTTATACAATAAAATATATATAGTAAACCGTGGAACTTATTGAGAAATTAATATTAAAAAATCACAAAAAATTTTCAAGTAACCTAGTTGAAAATTTTTTGTGATTTATTGATAATAATTTCTCAATAAATTCCACGGCAACCTATATATTTTATTGTAAAAAACAAAACTTAAATATTTTCAAAACCCTATTTTTAGTTTTTTTTCTACTCCATCTAATCAATAAATAATACTAAAATTAATTATAATTCGAAAATTGTTGTTGAAGTCTTACTTTCTCATAACACACACATTTAAAAAAAAAAATTCTCAAAATTTGCACGGTAAGGTATAGTTAAAAGTTCACTATTAGATAAATAAGGACATCTACTATTAGAAAAAAATTAATTTTAGTCATAACCTAATATTTTTTATTTAACTTTGGTGGCGAAAGGACCTCCTTAAGAAGATAATAATAAATTTATAAAAAGATTAAAAAACAGTCGATTACTTCCCAGACAGCACACCAAATCCTTTGGATATCTACTGAACATCCCAATATCCATTGAATGTCCAGTCCATGGTGGATATCTATTTTATATCCATGAAATGTAATTTATAGACATGCAAATGTCCATAAATAATTGTAATTATATAGCAAATTATTAAAAAATTACGCCATTGTACTCGCCATTGTGGCTAATAGTACCGTTGAGATATTTAAAATTAATTTTTTTTTAGGTGTATTCAATATCCCATGGACATCCACTATAAATATATCAAAGTCTAAGCGCGGACGCAAACCATCGTGGATATCTACTAGATGTAATTTTTGATTTTGCTTCCTAAGTATAGATGGCGATACCACTTTCGTATCTACTCATGCTTAACCCGCCGTAATTGAGTTTGATCGACATTGTTTCACAAACAGACTTCATTAGAGACTGAAGTCGAGAAGTTCCATTTATTGCTGAAGATTCCTAATAAGGATGATTTTCTCCTTAGTAGGCAAAATCAAAGGCAGATTGTTGGGAATATTTTTTACCTCTATTTTCTTTCGACGTTATTCAATAACCATTGGTTACTTATGAACCTCTAATAAAAATAATTATAAAATATTTATCTGAATTTCTATATCCTGGGATATAGACGGACATTTGGTTGGATATCCACAAAATATATTCTATGGATATATCTGGGATTTCTTGTATTGTCTGGAGATACTCATTAGATATTTTGCTGAATATCCATAGGATATCTTCTATATTCTGGATAGACGGACATTTGGATATCTATATTAGTTCCACGGAATATTTCTGATATCCTGTGGATATATTGGATATCCACAAAATATATTCTGTGGATATCTCTGGGATTTGGTGTGTTGTCTGGGTTATTGCCGCCAAGATAAATTTTTAAGGATTGTAGATTAAGGTGGCGCAAAAAACAGACTATTTTTTTGAGTCTCCAAAGAGCAGCTCAAAAAATATTTTTAGAGGTCGCTCAAGATTTTTTTTATATACAAAATTATTGCTTCTGATGTTTTTGAGCGACCTTTAAATTTTAATATCAAGAATTAATTTCAGTTTAATATTTTGAGCTAAAAATTTTAGATTTTTTCTTTTTAGAGCACAAAATTCTACCGTCATGAGCAAAAAAATTTGAAAAACAATCCAATTTTGACTAATTTTAAAATTTTGAAAAATTGAGCGACCCATAAAAACTTTTTTTAACTGCCTTTTGGAGGGGATCTTTTACCATATTTTCGCACAAGACTCAAAAAAAAATAGTCGTTTTTTTGCGTCGCCCTATTGTAGATGTCCTATTTGTTTTATACAAATTTCAGCGACTGCGATTAGAAGCATATAATAGTTTTCGTTCCGATCGTAGTTCCAGTTCACATCAGATAAATATGCGATGCGACATTTATTATTAGCAATAGTGCCTGAATGAAAACGTGTCTAAATCAAACCCAGCTCCAAAAAGTCGCAGTGATTTTGAAAGAACCATAGCGGTTCGCTCCAGCGACAGGAAAGTAGCGGCGACAAAATCGCTGACAGCGAAATCGCAACACATCTCTATATGGGACCACACCTTCGAACAAAAAATTAATCATAAAAATCGGACAATGTACTAAATAATTATCGCTAAACATACATAAAAAATGAAGAGTTTGAGGATTTTCTGATGGATCCAATTATTAGATATTGACCAAATTTATATGGGACCACCCCTGAAGTACCCCTTTTCTAACAAAAAAAGAATCATTGAAATCGGACACCGTGTTAGAATTATCGCTGAATACACATAAAAAAAATATATACCGATGAATTGAGAACCTCCTTTTTTGAAGTCGGTTAAAAATTGATCTTGACTAAATTTATATGGAACCACTCCCGAGGTACCCCTCTCTAACAAAAAAAAAGATTAATAAAAATCGGACAACGTAGTAAAGAATTATCGCTGATCATACACAAAAAAAATATTCTGATGAATTGAGAACCTCATATTTTTAGTCGGTTAAAAATAATATCACCGAATATGTCGATTTTATCAGAGATAATATATAATAAAAATTCGTGACGCCGAACATCGACACGGCCTAGTTGTAGATCAGTAGTGAAGATACATATGGTGTAAGGTGAGAGAAGGGATAAACTGAAGGATTTGACGGCCGTAGAAACCAATTTTATCAATGAATATATGTGTAAGCCGTTATACGCTTGTTTAATGTTAATACGCCTCTCGGCCCAGTAGCCATTTCCTGTTTTTAAAATTGCCGCTATTTCCCGTGCTAATGCGCGGATAAAAATTGTTACAGTAAACGCCAAATCTAAAGAACCAGCGCAAAGTTCGTTTACTTAAAAATCGCCACGCCCGTTCACAATTTGAACCTTGTCCATGCTTACGGTCAGTAGCGGAACGACTAGATCATTGTTTCTTGTTTCTGTGTTTTGGTTAAAGTGACTGGTTTTATTTTTGATAATGTCTGCTATTGTGGGTGAAAAAAAGCGCAGATCTGTTATTAACGGACAAAGTCGTGAAGTAATATACAATGTTTTTAAATATTTTGACGCAACAAAAAAGGAAGGAGTTACTTCAAACTGCACAAGCAACAGGTAAACATATTCTGTAGTTTATTTGCAATTAAACTTGCGTAGTTTTTCATATTTTTTTGAATTTTACACACATATCTATTCATTTTATTTTTTATTAATATCTTATATTTAATTTTTTTAAATTTATCTTCTGTTTCTAAAGATTTTTGTTTCCTAATAAATGTAAAAAAATACTAAATTTAACATTTATATAATATTACGTTTTTACAGGTGTTTCTTTTACTACCGTTAAAAGAATTTTGAAGGAAGGTAAACAGTCAATGGAAACAACTGGAAAAATTACATTTTCCACACCTAGGAAAAACTTCGTCAAAAATTCAACCGCTACGAATCTCCCTGAATATCAATTGAGGGACATTCGAAGAATAATTTACGATTTTCACATAACAGAAAAGTCTCTTGTTACTGTTAAAAGGTTAAATAATAAAATTAAGGAATATTTAGATATTCACATATCAGAAACTTCATTAAAAAGAGTCCCTTAAACAAGTGTAAATTAAAAATTTAAAAAAACCGTCTTCAAAAACGTGCAGATGCCATCACCACATCTTAACCAAATTTATATGGGATCACCCCTGAGGTACCCCCTTACTAACAAAAAAAAGAATCATATAAATCGGACAAGGTGGTAAAGCATTATCGCTAAACATACATAAAAAATGAAGAGTTTGAGGATTTTCTCATGGACCCAATTTTTAGATTTTGACCAAATTTATATAGGACCACCCCTGAAGTAGCCCCTTTCTAACAAAAAAAGAATCATTGAAATCGGACACCGTGTTAAAGAATAATCGCTGAACATACATAAAAAAAAAAATATCTCGACGAATTGATAACCTCCTCCTTTTTTGAAGTCGGTTAAAAATTACAATTTAAGTGGAGAAAAACACAAAGTAATTGTAAAGTTTTGGTGGAAAAAATGAAAATAAGAACAGATATAAGGACCGACATGTAACATATGTATTTGATGAGTTGTGTCGAGAATACGGCTTTACGGTTACCCCCATATCACCCCGACTTGAACCCTATCGAATTGATTTGGGCAACTGTTAAGAATAATGTCAGTCAAAGGAATGTTACCTTTAAATTAGAAGACGTAAAACAATTAGCAGAAGAATTTAATAAAATCTGTATGGAGGAATGGAAAAAGCGATGCGATCATGTTATAAAGGTAGAAGATAAATATTTTGAAAGAGAAATACAAACTGATTTATGTTCGGAAATTAATCCTAT